AGGAGGAGAGGGAGGGGAGGGAGGGAGGGAGGAGGGAGGGAGGAGAGGAGAGAGAGAGGGAGAGAGAGAGGGAGGAGGGAGAGAGAGAGTGAGAGAGGGAGAGGAGAGGAGGGAGGGAGGGAGGGAGGGAGGGAGGGAGGGAGGGAGGGAGAGAGAGGGAGGGAGGGAGAGAGGGAGGGAGAGGAGAGAGGGGAGGGAGAGAGAGAGGAGGGAGGAGGGAGGGAGGGAGGGAGGGAGGGAGGGAGAGAGAGAGGGAGGGAGGGAGGGAGGGAGGGAGGAGGGAGGGAGGAGAGAGGAGAGAGGGAGGAGGAGGGAGGAGGGAGGAGAGAGTGAGGAGAGGAGGGAGGGAGGAGGGAGGGAGGAGGGAGAGAGGAGGGAGAGGAGAGAGAGAGAGGGAGGGAGGGAGAGAGGAGAGGGAGAGGAAGAGAGGAGGGAGAAGGAGAGGGAGAGAGGTGAGAGAGGGAGGGAGAGGGAGGGAGGGAGAGAGAGAGGGAGAGAGAGTGAGAGAGGAGAGAGGAAGAGAGAGGGAGGGAGGGAGGGAGAGAGGGAGAGGGAGGGAGGGAGGGAGGGAGGGAGAGAGAGAGAGGGAGGAGAGAGAGAGGGAGAGGGAGGGAGAGGGAGGGGGAGAGAGGGGAGAGAGAGGGAGAGGGAGAGGGGGGAGGGAGGGGGGAGGAGGAGGAGGAGGGAGGAGGAGGGAGGAGGGGAGGGAGGGAGGGAGAGAGGAGGGAGAGAGAGAGGGAGAGAGAGGGAGGGAGGAAGGGAGGGAGGGAGGGAGGGAGAAGAGGAGGGAGAGGGAGGGAGGGAGGAGGAGGAGGGAGAGGAGAGGAGAGAGTGAGAGAGGGAGAGAGGGAGTGAGGGAGAGAGGAGGGAGGAGAGGGAGAGGAGAGGGGAGGGAGGGAGGAGAGGGAGGAGAGGGAGGGAGAGAGGGAGAGGTGAGAGAGGGAGGAGAGAGAGGGAGAGAGAGAGAGAAGAGAGAGGGAGAGAGGGAGAGAGGGAGGGAGGGAGGGAGGGAGAGGGAGAGAGAGGAGGGAGGGAGAGGGAGGGAGGGAGGGAGGGAGGGAGGGGAGAGGGAGGGAGGGAGGAGGAGGGAGGGAGGGAGAGAGGGAGAGAGAAGAGAGGAGAGAGGGAGGAGAGATGAGAGAGGGAGGGAGAGGGAGGGAGGGAGGAGAGAGGAGAGTGAGAGAGGGAGTGAGTGAGTGAGAGAGGAGTGAGAGAGGAGGGAGGGAGAGAGTGAGAGAGAGTGAGGGGTGAGGGAGGAGGGAGAGGGAGGGAGGGAGGGAGGGAGGGAGAGAGAGGGAGAGAGGGAGAGAGAGAGTGAGGAGAGGGAGGAGAGGAGGGAGGAGAGAGTGAGAGAGAGAGAGGGAGAGAGTGAAGAGAGGGAGGGAGAGGAGGAGGGAGGGAGTGAGAGGAGGAGAGAGTGAGGAGGAGGGAGGGAGGAGAGGGGAGTGAGAGAGAGAGAGTGAGAGAGAGAGAGAGGAGAGGAGAGGGAGAGAGTGGAGAGGGAAGGGAGGGAGGGAGGGAGGGAGGAGAGGAGAGAGCAGGGAGAGAGGGGAGAGGGAGAGAAGAGTGAGAGGGAGGAGAGGGAGGGAGGGAGGAGAGGGAGGGAGGAGAGAGGAGAGAGAGAGAGGAGAGAGAGAGTGGAGAGAGAGTGAGAGAGAGAAGAGGAGGGGAGAGAGAGGGAGGAGAGAGAGAGAGAGAGGAGAGGGAGAGGAGGGAGAGAGGGAGAGAGGGGAGAGGGAGTGAGAGAGAGAGGGAGAGAGAGGGAGGGAGGGAGAGGGAGGAGGGAGGGAGAGAGGGAGAGAGGGAGGGAGGGGGGGAGAGAGAGAGGAGGGAGGGAGGGAGGGAGGGAGGAGAGGGAGGGAGGGAGGGAGGGCATCTGACTCACACAGAGGGATAAGAGCAGCAGCAGTTACAGTCGTATCAGTTGTACTTTAATATGAGACTTAATGAAGAGTGGGAGTAATTATGAGAATTATAATCAAATTATCCTCCTGACTGTTTTTATGATCACACACAACACAGAACTAAACCAGGACTAAACCAGGACTAAACCAGGACTAAACCAGGACTAAATGAGGAAATGCTTAAATTTGAGCCTCCCACACTTGAGATCTGGACTGACATTGTACAAGAGACAATATGACAGAAGTTATTTTATATTTGCATTTGCAGTGTTTTGTCAACATGTGCCAGAGGTTCCCTTCCCCTGAAAACTGTTCTGAGTTTGTTAAATAAAATAAAATAAAAAAAAAAGGAAAAACTTTATTGATTGCAATGTGCAGAATACAATCAAAGTGTAATCTGCTTTTTCAGTGAAAACTATTTTAATGGAAAATAAAATTATAAAACCCATAATTTTATTTTCCATTTAAAAAGTTTTCATTGAAAAAGCAGATTACACTTTACACTTTATCTTTAGAATAATTTTGGTTTATAGTATTTCTAGAAAATGATCTCTCTCCCTTGAAATGCAGCAGACCTTGTGTTTTAACTCCACATGTTCATCCTGAGGCCAAACCAACTCATGATGTCATCAGGTGCTGCCACCATGTGATCCGCCCGTTCACTTTGTAAAGTCTGAACACCCACAACACACAGACACACACACACACCGACTCACACTCTGTAACTCACACACCTCTAACTCTATAACTCTAACACCACTCAGTCTATACTCTAAACAGCTCTGTCTGCTCCAAAACTTTGTAAAACATAAACTGTCCTTCAGGGAGATGTTTTCTCAGAGGAGCTACGTGCACGTGTGTTCACAGGTGTAGGATTATACTAGTGATAGTATAAAATACTGGTGGTAGAAGTACTAGTAGTAGTAGAATTTGCAGTATTTGTACTCACATCCGTAGAAGGCTCTGGAGACGATCTGCCTCTTCATGTTTTGGCACAACATCTTCAGAGGAACCCTGAGAAAAACACCAGCAAACATCAACACACACCCAGAGGAGCACCCAGCACCCAGAGGAGCACCCAGAGGAGCACCCAGCACCAGAGGAGCACCCAGCACCCAGAGGAGCACCCAGCACCCAGAGGAGCACCCAGCACCCAGAGGAGCACCCAGCACCCAGAGGAGCACCCAGCACACAGAGGAGCACCCAGCACCCAGCACCCAGAGGAGCACCCAGCACCCAGAGGAGCACCCACCCAGAGGAGCACCCACCCAGAGGAGCACCCAGCACCCAGAGGCACCCAGCACCCAGCACCCAGAGGCACCCAGAGGAGCCACCAGAGGAGCACCCAGCACCCAGAGGAGCACCCAGCACCCAGAGGAGCACCCAGCACCCAGAGGAGCACCCAGAGGAGCACCAGAGGAGCACCCAGCACCCAGAGGAGCACCCAGAGGAGCACCCAGAGGAGCAGCCCAGAAGCACCCAGGGAGCACCCACCAGAGGAGCACCCACACAGAGGAGCACCCAACACCCAGAGGAGCACCCAGCACCCAGAGGAGCACCCAGCACCCAGAGAAGCACCCAGAGAAGCACCCAGAGGAGCACCCAGAGGAGCACCCAGAGGAGCACTCAGCACCCAGACTGAGGAGCACTAGGAGGACTAGTGTTACCTTCTTGCATGTGTAGATGTACAATACAGTAGTAGTAGTAGTAGTAGTAGTAGTAGTAGAATACTACTACTACTACTACCAGTAAGTAAGTACACGTGCACAGGTAGTAGTAGTATTCTTAGTAGTAGTACTCACGTGTGTATGTCTGAAGTATCGTAGGCACAGATGTAGTAGTAGTAGTAGTAGTAGTAGCAGTAGTAGTATTCGCAGTACTCACGTGTGTATGTCTAAGTATCGTGGGCGCAGGGTGGTATTCGGTATTGTGTATGTCTGAAGTACGTAGTAGTATTCGTACAGTGTCTGTATGTAGTAGTAAGTATCAGTGTTAGTATTGGGCGCAGCTGTAGTAGTATTCGTAGTATTCGTAGTACTCACGTGTGTATGTCTGAAGTATCGTGGGCGCAGCTGTAGTAGTAGTATTCGTAGTAGTAGTATTCGTAGTATTCGTAGTACTCACGTGTGTATGTCTGAAGTATCGTGGGCGCAGCTGTAGTAGTAGTAGTAGTAGTAGTATTCGTAGTATTCGTAGTACTCACGTGTGTATGTCTGAAGTATCGTGGGCGCAGCTGTAGTAGTAGTAGTATTCGTAGTATTTGTAGTACTCACGTGTGTATGTCTGAAGTATCGTGGGCGCAGCTGTAGTAGTAGTATTCGTAGTATTCGTAGTATTCGTAGTACTCACGTGTGTATGTCTGAAGTATCGTGGGCGCAGCTGTAGTAGTAGTAGTATTCGTAGTATTCGTAGTACTCACGTGTGTATGTCTGAAGTATCGTGGGCGCAGCTGTAGTAGTATTCGTAGTATTCGTAGTATTCGTAGTACTCACGTGTGTATGTCTGAAGTATCGTGGGCGCAGCTGTAGTAGTATTCGTAGTATTCGTAGTATTTGTAGTACTCACGTGTGTATGTCTGAAGTATCGTGGGCGCAGCTGTAGTAGTAGTATTCGTAGTATTCGTAGTACTCACGTGTGTATGTCTGAAGTATCGTGGGCGCAGCTGTAGTAGTAGTATTCGTAGTATTCGTAGTACTCACGTGTGTATGTCTGAAGTATCGTGGGCGCAGCTGTAGTAGTAGTATTCGTAGTATTCGTAGTATTTGTAGTACTCACGTGTGTATGTCTGAAGTATCGTGGGCGCAGCTGTAGTTCGTGGACGTGGAGCAGGACACACACTCAGACTCCGACTGTTGCCACGACGACGGGCTCCCCCCCAAACCTGCGACCTCTGACCCCTCGGACAGATCTGAGAGACGGAGAGAGAGAGAGAGAAAGAGGGAGAGAGAAAGGAGGAGAGAAAGGAGGAGAGGAGGGAGGAAGAGAGGAGAAACAGATGAGTTCATCCCTTTTTCAGTGGTTCCCGCGGCGACAGGACGGAGCTCAGAGAGATCAGGTTTTGTCGGTTTGATGGAGTTTAAACTTAAAGGGAAAGTTCTCTCTCTCTTTTCTTCTCTCTCCTTCTGTCTCTCTTTCCTTTGTCCATCTCTCTGTCTCTTTTCTTCTCTCTCTCCTTTATTCCTTCCTCTATCTCTTTTCTTCACTCTCTCTATCTCCTTTGTCCATTCCTCTATCCCTTTTCTTCTCTCTCTTTCTTCTTTCTCCATTCCTCTCTCTTTTCCTCTCTCTCTCTCTTTTATTCTGTTCTCTGTCTCTTTTTCTTCTCTCTCTCTCCTTTGTCCATTCCTCTCTCTCTTTCTCTCTCCTTTATCCCATCCTCTATCTCTTTTCTTCTCTCTCTCTCTCTCTTTTCTTTGTCCATCCCTTTATCTTTTTTCTTCCCTCTCTCTATTTCTCTATCTCCTTTGTCATTCTTCTCTCTCTCTTTCTATCTCTCCTTTGTCCATTTCTGTCTCTTTTCTTTCCCTCTCTCTTTCTCTCTTCTTCTTTGCCCATTCCTCTTTCTCTTTTCTTCTCTCTCTCTCTCTCTCCTTTGTCCATTCCTCTATCTCTTTTTTTTCTCTACCTTTCGGCTTATACCTCTCTCTCTCTCTTCCTCCTCTTTCTCCCGCTCTGTCCATCCCTCCCTCTTTCTCAAATCACATTCAGATGATTTATTAAATTCTTTATCGATTTCAAACTTTGAACTGTCCCTTTAAGAAGAGATGGATGATGGATGGAGAGAATGGGAGAAAACATGGACAGAGAGAAGGAAAGAGAGAGAGACAAAGAGAGAAAGAGAGAGGGAAGGAGGGAAAGAGAAAGAGGGAGGGAGGAGGGTCAATGATTAGAAATGTGTTTTAGGGGACGAGCAAAAGATGCAAGGAAGCCATGCTGGTTCTGTTCATTCAAGAGAGGAAGGAAAAAGAGAAGGAGAAGAGAGAGAAAAAGAGAGGGAGAGGAAGAGGAGAGGACGAGGTCGTGGGGCGGACGCAGAAGCCGTGCAGATGCAGAGACACAAAATGTAAAAAAACAAAAAAAACAAAAACAAAAAACAAAAATAAAAAACAAAAATAAAGTGGCGGAGACGAGGAGACAGATGGAAAACCAACAAAAGAACCAAAACCTCTCGTGAACTGGGACCTGTCTTAGACCTGAGACCAGAGACCAGAGTCCAGACCACAGACCGGACCAGAGACCGGACCACAGACCGGACCAGAGACCGGACCACAGACCGGACCAGAGACCGGACCAGAGACCGGACCAGAGACCGGACCACAGACCGGACCACAGACCACAGACCGGACCGGACCACAGACCGGACAGACGGACCAGACCGGACCACAGACCGGACCACAGACCGGACCAGAGACCGGACCACCGGACCAGAGACCGGACCAGAGACCGGACCAGAGACCGACCACAGACCAGACCACAGACCGGACCACAGACCGGACCAGACCGGACCAGAGACCGGACCAGAGACCGGACCAGAGACCGGACCAGAGACCGGACCACAGACCGGACCACAGACCGGACCAGACCAGAGACCGGACCAGAGACCGGACCAGAGACCGGACCAGAGACCGGACCAGAGACCGGACCACAGACCGGACCAGAGACCGGACCAGAGACCGGACCAGAGACCGGACCACAGACCGGACAGACCAGACCGGACCAGAGACCGGACCAGAGACCGGACCAGAGACCGGACCAGAGACCGGACCAGAGACCGGACCAGAGACCGGACCAGAGACCGGACCAAGAACTAAGATCCCAAAAAGTTTAAAACATTTTCCAAAAGTTTGTCCCGATTCGAGCGTCTACTGCGGAACCCCACGGCATCCAAACGACAAAAGAGAGAGAGAGAAAGAGGAGAGGAGAGAGAAAGAGAGAGGGAGCGACACCATGGAGAGACACACAGGAGAGAAAGAGAGAAAGATGGAGAGAGAGAGCAGGGAGGAGCGGAAACTCAAATCCAACATGTACCGTCACAAACACAGACACAGGTGGGCGATGGAGCAGAGGAGCAGAGGAGCAGAGGAGCAGAGGAGCAGAGGAGCAGAGGAGCAGAGGAGCAGAGGAGCAGAGGAGGTCCATGCAGCAGCTTCACGAGCAGAGACGAGGAACACCATGAGAACGACTGATGAGGAACTGAGGAAGAACCGAGGAGGAACCAAAGGGAACGTGGAGAGAGCCACAAAAGCAACAGCAGCAGAAGAAGCAGACAGTGCAGAAGCTCCAGAGACTCCTGAAGCTCCCGAAGTTCCAGAAGCTCCACAAGCTCCTGAGGCTCGAGAAGCTCCTGAATTTCCAGAAGCTTCAGAAGCTCCTCAGGCTCGAGAAGCTTCAGGCTATGGACCAGATCTATCAAACTTAACCTGAAACAAAATGGCCACACTCTGAGAAGGCTCCTGGAGTTCCAGAAGCTCCTGAGGCTCGAGAAGCTCCTGAATTTCCAGAAGCTCCAGAAGCTCCTGAGGCTCGAGAAGCTCCTGAATTTCCAGAGGCTTCAGAAGCTCTTGAGGCTCGAGAAGGTTCAGGCTATGGAACAAATCTACGAAACCTAATCTGAAACAAAATGGCCACACACTGAGACTGAGAGAGAAACCACAACAAGCTCCATCACCAAGAACCTTCCAACACACACTTTCAATCAAATTAAGTTTTAAATCTTGGGCTCAGAAACCAAATGATACTAAAGACCACAAGAGCTAAAACTGTGTTTACAATGGCTCCTGAAATGTGTTCAATCGTTGAAAATTCTTTTCTGTAACATCTGAATCTCACATTTGAGAAAAGGGACGACGACAACAACAACAACAACCAACAACAACAACAACAACAACCATCGCACGGGGATTTTATGGAAGCTGAGAGGGTCACAACAAACGCAAACGCCGCAACAAATACAAATGCGACAACACAACAAAAAGCCACAACACACAAAAAAAAAAAGCCACAACGGAAATGACCGCGGGACTCTATTTTAATGCAAACGCCGCAACAAATACAAACGCCACAACACAAACGCAAAAGCCACAACACATTAAAAAGCCACAACACATTAAAAAGCCACAATGGAAGTGACCGCGGGACTCTATTTTACGACGGCCCGATCAAGCTTTTTTACTTTTCACTTTGTAGTTCTTCTTCTTCACTTGCCGCTCGATCGGTCCGTCTGAAAATAGAGTCCCCCGGTCACTTCCGTTGTGGCTTTTTAATGTGTTGTGGCTTTTTAATGTGTTGCGGCTTTTTAATGTGTTGCGGCATTTGCGTTGTGGCATTTGTATTAAAATAGAGTCCTGCGGTCATTTCCGTTGTGGCTTTTTAATGTGTTGTGGCTTTTTAATATGTTGTGGCATTTGTGTTTGTGTTGTGGCTTTTTGATGTGTTGTGGCTTTTTAATGTGTTGTGGCGTTTGTGTTGTGGCTTTTTGATGTGTTGTGGCTTTTTGATGTATTGTGGCTTTTTAATGTTGTGGCTTTTAATGTGTTGTGGCTTTTTAATGTGTTGCAGCATTTGCGTTTGTGTTGTGGCGTTTGTATTTTAGTGGTCATTTGTTGTGGCTTTTTTTTTTTTTGTGTGTTGTGGCTTTTGTGTTGTTGTGGCTTTGATGTGTTGTGGCTTTTTAATGTGTTGTGGCTTTTTAATGTGTTGTGGCTTTTTAATGTGTTGCAGCATTTGCGTTTGTGTTGTGGCGTTTGTATTAAAATAGAGTCCCGCGGTCATTTCCGTTGTGGCTTTTTTTTTTTTTTTTTTGGGTGTGTTGTGGCTTTTTGTTGCGTTGTCGCGTTTGTATTCGTTGCGGCGTTTGCGTTTGTTGTTGTGACCCTCTCGGCTTCCGTAGGATTTTCTGCTATTCAACGTTCCACAATTACTGCTACGAATGCGAACTTCCAGAAGAGATCAGCGGCAGCTTTACGGGAGAAACCACCCTGAGCAGAGACAGGAGCAGAGACAGGAGCAGAGACAGGAGCAGTGACAGGAGCAGTGACAGGAGCAGTGAGACAGGAGCAGAGACAGGAGCAGAGACAGGAGCAGAGACAGGAGCAGTGACAGGAGCAGTGACAGGAGCAGAGACAGGAGCAGAGACAGGAGCAGAGACAGGAGCAGAGACAGGAGCAGTGACAGGAGCAGAGACAGGAGCAGACAGGAGCAGTGACAGGAGCAGTGACAGGAGCAGAGACAGGAGCAGTGACAGGAGCAGTGACAGGAGCAGAGACAGGAGCAGTGACAGGAGCAGTGACAGGAGCAGAGACAGGAGCAGTGACAGACAGGAGCAGGACAGAGACAGGAGCAGTGACAGGAGCAGAGAGCAGTCAGCAGAGACAGGAGCAGTGACAGGAGCAGAGGCAGGAGCAGTGACAGGAGCAGGAGCAGAGACAGGAGCAGAGACAGGAGCAGAGACAGGAGAGTGACAGAGAGACAGAGAGTGACAGGAGCAGCAGACAGGAGCAGAGACAGGAGCAGTGACAGGAGCAGAGACAGGAGAAGTGACAGGAGCAGACAGGCAGCAGTGACAGGAGCAGAGACAGAGCAGTGACAGGAGCAGTGACAGGAGCAGAGACAGGAGCAGTGACAGGAGCAGAGACAGGAGCAGAGACAGGAGCAGAGACAGGAGCAGTGACAGGAGCAGTGACAGGAGCAGAGACAGGAGCAGTGACAGGAGCAGAGACAGGAGCAGTGACAGGAGCAGAGACAGAAACCTGAAGCGTGAGAGTGTGTGGGATTCTCTAATAAACCTGTCTGCGGTTTCTGAGATCTCAGTCTGAGCCAGTGCAAAGCTGACGGGCGCGGACAGGAGCAGTGACAGGAGCAGTGACAGGAGCAGTGACAGGAGCGGTGACAGGAGCGGTGACAGGAGCGGTGACAGGAGCGGCGGGGCGCAGCTCTGCTCAAACTCGATCTGCGGAGGACGAGTTTGCTTCGTTCGGACCGATTTTAATGCCAGAGGAAACGGAAAACTCAAGAGTGTGACCATCGTCCAGAGACTCCATTTCCCACAATGCAACACAACGCCCCAAAAACATGCTCCACACATGCTCATGCTCACACAGAAAGAGAGAGGGAGAGAAAGAGAGAGAGAGAAAGAGAGAGGGAGAGAAAGAGAGAGAGAGAGACAGAGGGCCAGAGGTGGAAAACTCTTTATTCACTCGTTTTTATTTTAACCAAACAAAATCAAACTCTAAAAACAGTTTTCTACGAGCGTCTCTTTCCACCTCTGGACAAAAAAAAAGAGAAAAGCGGAAGAATGGAAGATAAAACGCAGACATCCAGAAGAAAGAGAGGAGAGGAGGAGGATGGGAAGAGGGTTGGGGGAGGTTATGGGGCGGAGTCAGGTGGAGAGGGGGGCGTGGTCAGGTGTGGTCAGGGAGCGTGGGGAGACAGAGGTACGATGGAGGAGAGAGGATGGAGGGATGAGGATGGAGAGAGAGTTCATGTTTATGGGCGTTTTGGTGTGAGAGGAGGATGGAGGGATGAACAGAGAGATGAGGAGAGAGGGATGACCTTTGTGAGCGTTTGGGTGTGAGGAGGATGGAGGGATGAGCAGAGGGATGGAAAGAGGGATAACTCGCGTGAGGAGAATAGAGGGATGGAGGGATAAGAATAGAGGGATGACCTTTGTGAGCGTTCGGGTGCGTGATGGAGGGATGCAGATGGCGGAGGGGAGGAGGATGGAGAGATGGAAGGAGGAATGAGAAGAGAGGGATAATCTCTGTGAGCAATCGGGTGTGAGGAGAACGGAGGGATGCAGATGGAGGAGGAGAGACAGGATGGAGGGATGAACAGAGAGATGAGGATAGAGGGATGACCTTTGTGTGTGTTTGGGTGTGAGGAGGATAGAGGGATGGAGATAGAGGGATAGAGGATGGAGGGATGAGGATAGAGGGATGGAGGGATGAGGATAGAGGGATGGAGGGATGAACAGAGGGATAACCTTTGTGAGCGTTTGGGTGTGTGATGGAGGGATGCAGATGGAGGAGAGGATAGAGGATGGAGGGATGAGGATAGAGGGATAGAGGATGGAGGGATGGAGGGATGAGGATAGAGGGATAAAGGATGGAGGGATGAGGATAGAGGGATAGAGGGATGAGGATAGAGGGATAAAGGATGGAGGGATGAGGATAGAGGGATAACCTTTGTGAGCGTTTGGGTGCGTGATGGAGGGATGAGGATAGAGGGATGGAGGGATGAGGATAGAGGGATAGAGGATGGAGGGATGGGGATAGAGGATGGAGGGATGAGGATAGAGGGATAACCTTTGTGAGCGTTTGGGTGCGTGATGGAGGGATGAGGATGGAGGGATAGAGGATGGAGGGATGAGGATAGAGGGATAACCTGTGTGAGCGTTTGGTTGCGTGATAGAGGGATGAGGATAGAGAGGATAGAGGATGAGGATAGAGGGATGAGGATAGAGGATGGAGGGATGAGGGATAGAGGGATAACCTGTGTGAGCGTTTGGTTACGATGATGGAGGGATGAGGATAGAGGGATAGAGGATGGAGGGATGCAGATGGAGGAGAGGATAGAGGATGGAGGGATGAGGATGGAGGAGAGGATAGAGGATGGAGGGATGAACAGAGGGATAGAGGATGGGGGATGGAGGATGGAGGGATGAGGATGGAGGGATGAACAGAGGGATAACCTGCGTGAGCGTTTGGGTGCGTGATGGAGGGAAGAGGATGGAGGGATGAACAGAGGGATAACCTGCGTGAGCGTTTGGGTGCGTGAGGAGGATGGAGGGATGAGGATAGAGGGATAGAGGATGGAGGGATGAGGATGGAGGAGAGGATAGAGGATGGAGGGATAGAGGATGGAGGGATGAACAGAGGGATAGAGGATGGAGGGATGAGGATGGAGGGACAGAGGATGGAGGGATAGAGGATGGAGGGATGAACAGAGGGATAACCTGCGTGAGCGTTTGGGTGCGTGAGGTTCCGGGAGCAGATCATGGAGATCATGGCGTGGAGACGATCTTCTTCCTCCTCGTCGTCGTCCAGAGACGGAGCTCGACTGCCCGTCGAGTGGTGGTAGTTTATGGTGACTGGGTCATAAAACAACCGTCAATATACAAGAGTTTACAGACAGAAAGAGAGAAAGAAGAGAGGGAGAGAAGGAGAGAAGGAGAGAAGAGAAGGAGAAAGGTGGAGGTTGTTTACGGTGACTGGTTATCATTAAGAGTGATCTGAAATCAACACCATATTTGAGACAGATTTTGAGTGTCATCTGAGTCTCTTTAGGGCAATTTTTGAACATATTTTGGTCACATTTGGGGCAGATTTTGGGGTATATTTGGGGCATATTTTAGTCACATTTTGGGCATATCTTACTTATATTTAGCTCATCTTTGGGGCATATTTTGGTTACATTTGGGGCAGATTTTGGGGTATATTTGTGATATATTTGACTCATAATTTGGTCACATTTTTGGCATATTTTGGGCATATTTGCGATATATTTGACTCACATTTGCCTCATCTTTGGAGCATATTTGATGCATATTTGGGGCGTATTTTGGGGTATATTTGGGGCATATTTTAGTCACATTTTGGGCATATCTTACTCATATTTTGGCTCATCTTTGAAGCATATTTGATGCATATTTCGGATATATTTGACTCACATTTGGCCCATCGAGTGATGGTAGTTTATGGTGACTGGGTCATAAAACAACCATCAATATACAAATATTTACAGACAGAAAGAGAGAGGAGAGAGAGAGAAGGAGAGAAGGAGAGAAGGAGGGAGAGTGTTTATGGTGACTGGGGTTATAAAACAACGTTAAACATACACAGAGAAAAAGAGAGAGGGAGGAAGGAGAGAAGGAGAGAGTGTTTCTGGTGACTGGTTATAATAAAGAGTGACCCGGAATCAACAGCAGAAGCGTCAGCGACATGTAACGATTCTGTCAACTCGGCAAAGAACAGACGCTCGGTGCAGGAGGATCCCCCCGAGATCCCCCCATATTTACGCCATATTTGGACCATATTTGGCAAATATGGACCATTTTTGGACATATGTAAAGTATATTTAGGCATATTTAGGATATATTTGACCATCTTTGGAGCGTATTTGAGACATATTTTGGTCACATTTTGGGCAGATCTTACTTATATTTAGCTCCTCTTTGGGACATATTTTGGGCATATTTGGGATATATTTCACTCACATTTGCCTCATCTTTTGGGCATATTTTAGAGCATACTTCAGGCATATTTTGGTCACATTTTGGGCATATTTGACTTATATTTAGCTCATCTTTGGTGCATATTTATGGCACATTTGGTATATATTTGACTCACATTTGACTCATCTTTAGGGTACATTTTGGGCAGATCTTACTTATATTTAGCTTTTCTTCGGCACATATTTTGGAGCATATTTAAGGCATATTTTGGTCACATTTTGGTTATATTTGGGGCGTTATCGGAGTGTCTTTTGGGCATATTTAGGATATATTTGGCTCATATTTTAGGCATATTTTGGTCACTTTTGAGGCATATTTGGGGCATATCTTACTTACATTTAGCTCATCTTTGGGGCATATTTCGGGCATATTTGGGATATATTTGACTAATATTTTGGTCACATTTGAGACACATTTGGGGTATATTTGGGGCGTCATCGGAGTGTCTTTTGGACATATTTGGAATCATATTTGACATATATTTAGCTCATCTTCAGAGCATATTTGGTGCATATTTTTGGCATATTTTGGGATATATTTTACTCATATTTTGGTCACATTTGGGGCATATTTTGAGGCATATGTGGGGCGTCATCAGAGTGTCTTTTTTTCTGCATATTTGGGATATATTTGACTCATATTTGGCTCATCTTTGGGGTGTATTTTTGGGCATATTCTGGGCCACATTCAGGTATTTGACAGTTTAAACTCACTGGTGTCGTAGCGGTATCCAGGTAGTCGATTCTGTACACGCAGTCCTCCACAGGAAAAGTTACACAATGCACCTTTAAATGTTTTACTTTACTCTTTCCTCAAAAAACATCTGAATTCATGAGTGTCGCTGAAGCCTCCAGTTTTCTCTCTGTATCGTAACAGTGATGCCCTGAATATTTCCAAACTTTGCAGCGGATAAACTTTTAAAACTGCTAAAAGTTGGCTCCATTTTGAGACACTTCCCTCTTTCCTCCTTTAAAACGACATAAACATCTCTCTGTTTTATGGCCGCGGGTTTGAAAAGCACCAAAACAAAACTTCTCCGTCCTCCAGAGGAAATTCAGTTAGAAAAGTGTAAATCAGTTTGAGTTCGACTTGAGGTGGTTTAAAACGTCCGCCTCCCAGAGCAGTGGAAGAGTTACAGAGGCACAGAGGAAATAAAAACACACACAGGCCGCCACGGTTTCGGTCCGGAAAATATTTGACTTCCACGGAGTTAGTCCTGGTTTAGTCTTGGTCCAGTGATTACAGAGATAATAAAGACGTCCTATAGTTAAAGGTTGTATGGAGGATTTTTTTTTTGTTTCAAACTGTCAGTCAAAGATTAAAATACCATTACAGAGACGCAGCAGCTTTGTAATTATGATGACCAAAAAAAAAAAAAGAACGAAAATCTATCAACTGTGGACGTGTTGAGGCCAGATAAACATCAGCCAATAGAAAACGAGGCTCCCTCATTTTCTATTGGCTGTTAGATTGTCAATCAAACTCCCTAGTGTAACTGATTCGTCGGAGCGCGGGGATTACGTGGTTTATGCAGAGGTTCTTAGAAGCTTTTTCGAACTGTTGCTTCCTCGCATTTTACACAAAGTTTGTCGCGACGGCGCACGAGAATCCACGACCGGTTCGCCGCAAAAGAAAGTCCGTTTTTGAGGTCGCTGAAAGAAGAAGAGAAGTGGAAAAGGAGCAAAGCCAAACTGAGGTGATTCTTGGAGATCTCGTCCAGTGATGGCGCAACCGAAGCAGGCGAAGGGTCTAAAAACTGACGCGTCGGTCGCTGAATTACTTCTAGACAGGAAACTTCAACAGTAATTCTAAATGCGCACAAGGACTGTCGCTGTATTTCTCTTCCCTTAAAAAAAATCCTCTATACAACCTTTAAAACCTCTGACCCCCGTGGATCATTCTGCTATAATTTGGACATTTTTCATTCACAATCGCCACAAGAGCTTTAATTCCGAATAATAAAAATGTAAAAAATCTGCTTTAAACTTAATTCTGAAGTAAGCGTGTGGTTTATTCCGACTTTAAAGCCGAATTAATTTGTTCCCGGATCATGTAAACGTTTATTCTTGTTAAAAATAACGGCGGTCGTTGGGTCGTCCTTCTGTCGCTGAGCCCAATGAAATAAAGATGATTTAACGTGTTTTCCATGTAACAATTCAGAATTATTATTTCCATGTAAACTCCAAGGAGAATATTTTAATTCAGACTTAAAAACATCATGTAAATGTGGCCAATATTGATCCAAATCGACTTGACGTGATCGTAAACGTCAAACGACACAACAAAGCGCCGCAGGCTGTGGGCTCCTCCTCCTGCTGCACATCATCACACTACAGCAGAGCGTTTGGTTTTTTAACATCTGGACCTGTGAGTATCACTCATGAACAAACTCCACCACACACGGCTCATATTTGAGGCAGATTTGGGGAATATGTAGAGCAGTTTTGGGCATACCTGGGACATAGTTGACTCATAATGCGCTCATTTTTGGGGCATATTTTTGACATATTTTTTTACATATTTTGGACATATTTGAGGCATATTTTGGACATATTTGGGGCACATTTGGGGCATATTTTGGACATATTTGGGGCATATTTTGGACATATTTGAGGCATATTTTGGACATATTTTGGACATATTTGGGGCATATTTTGGACATATTTGAGGCATATTTTTGACATATTTGGGGCATATTTGAGGCATATTTTGGACATATTTTGGACATATTTGGGGCATATTTTGGACATATTTGGCATTTTGTCACATCTGAGGCATATTTTGGACATATTTGAGGCATATTTGGGGCATATTTTGGTCAGATCTGAGGCATATTTGGGGCATATTTTGGACATATTTTGATCAGATCTGAGGCATATTTGAGGCATATTTTGGACATATTTGGGGCATATTTTGGTCAGATCTGAGGCATATTTGGGGCATATTTTGGACATATTTGGGGCATATTTTGGACATATTTGGGGCATATTTTGGTCAGATCTGAGGCATATTTGAGGCATATTTTGGACATATTTGAGGCATATTTTGGACATATTTGGGGCATATTTTGGACATATTTGGGCATATTTGGACATATTTGGGGCATATTTTGGTCAGATCTGAGGCATATTTGGGGCATATTTTGGTCACATCTGAGGCATATGTGAGGTGTATTCTGGTCAAGTTTGAAGCATATTTGGGGCATATTTTGGACATATTTGAGGCATATTTTGGACATATTTGAGGCATATTTTGGACATATTTGAGGCATATTTGGGGCATATTTTGGTCACATCTGAGGCATATGTAAGGTGTATTTTGGTCACGTTTGGAGGCATATTTTGGTCAAGTTTGAAGCATATTTGGGGCATATTTTGGACATATCTTACTCATAAGTCATGAGATATGAGATATTTTACTCAACAACGCGATGCTGCCCAATCTTAAGAGTATCACCCATTAAGAAACCCCCCCACACGGCTCATCTCCAAGGCCAAATCTTTGCATATTTTGGTCACATTTGAGGCATATTTGGGACATATTTAAGGCATATTTTGGACGTATCTTACTCATATTTGGCTCGTCTTTGGGGCATATTTGGTGCATAGTTTTGGCACATTTTGGACATATTCTGAGCCACATTCAGGTATTGGACAGTTTAAACTCACTGGCGTCGTAGCGGTATCCAGGGTAGACGATTCTGAACACGTAGTCCGCGGCCGTCTCCTCGTCTCCGGGTCGGTCCTGGTCCAGGAGCCGCGCGGAGCTGCTGCGCTTCCGGAGCTTTGGAAAAACTTTACCCTGAAACACACAAACAAACCGAATGTTTTAAAGTTACGTAGTGCAGCTTTAAAGACCACACACGTTTAACCACTGAATGAAACAGAACACAAGTCCAGGTCGTTTTTGGACGAGGGAACAGGATTAGAACTCGACACGTTTTATGAGTGACTTTGGACTTGTACCTTTCCCTTCTGTGACCACAAGGGCGGCTCCAGCTGACCCCGGGGCAGCAGACCCGTCTCCAGACAGGAGAGGAACGCCAACAGGTGCCCCCCAGGAGGAAAGAGCAGAGGGGGGCGCTGTATGCCGTCCTGACTCACCAGCACCAGCGTACCACCACAGTCAGCTGCAGGAGAAGAAGAGAGAGATGAACAAAGACACAAGAGAGAAGAAAGAGCGGAGGAGAGAAGAGGAAAGACCAGAGGGGGCGCTGTATCTCATCCTGACTCACCACACAGAGGAAAGGAGAGAAAAAGAAAGAGACAAAAAAAGAGGAAGACAGACTCACGTCTCTGGTGACAGTGCAGACAGACGATCTGACGCAGAGGAACAGTCAGAGCGTAGTCCCAGTAAATACTAAAGAGAGAGAGAGAGAGAGTCGAGGGAGGGAGAGAGGAGGAGAGGGGAAAATGGTTAGATATTTAGCTCAGTTCATCTTCAAAGTGTAAATAAAACAGTTCTTTATGTAATGTTTGTATCTCTTGAGGCTCCTGAAACTCCTGACACTCCTGAGGGTCCAGAGACTCCTGAGGCTCCTGAAACTCCTGACACTCTTGAGGTTTCTGAAACTCCTGAGGCTCCTGAAACTCCTGACTCCTGACTCTCCTGAGGTCCTTCCTGAAACTCCTGAGGCTCCTGAGGCTCCTGAGACTCCTGAGGCTCCTTCCTGAAACTCCTGAGGCTCCTGAGGCTCCTGAAACTCCTGAGGCTCCTGAAGACTCCTGAGGACTCCTGAGGCTCCTGAGGCTCCTGAATTTCCTGAGACTCCTGAAACCCCTGAGACTCCTGAGGGTCTTGAGGTTCCTGAGGCTCCTGAGGCTCCAGGTCCTCACAGAGTCCATCAGATGAAAACCGTCAGATTGAGTGGAGGCTGTTTTTGGTGTTATGTCACATTCTACTGAGTGTTGATCGTGGATAAATCCGAGTCCATTCTCCTGACATCCGCTGTGAATTCGTTTCATTGCAACAGTCAGGAAAATATGGATGCACAAGAAAGTTTAAGTTTCTTTTGTTCACTCACAAGCACCACTTCAACAAACAGAAACTACTCCACTACTCAGAATGCGTCAGTGAGAACTTTGTCTTTTGGTCATTTTGATGTGTCAAGTTGTTACTGGACAAATCTTTATTTAGGTTGAAAACAAACAGAATTTTTGCCTTTGCCATGATTCTTCCTGGACTGAGGGACTGTACAAACATCTGTCAGCTGACGTTAGTTGTCGGCGACTCAGTTATGGCAGTTTGACGATTACATGTCTCACCTCTTCTCCAGGTCACAGTCCCCTAGAGTCCCGTTGATGAGTTGGTTCGGGGTCCACTTCAGGGTCAGGTTCTCTCCAGACTGATGCAGGGACAAGTACCCCCTCAAAACCTCCATCTCCTTCTTCTGAAACACAAACCAGAACATCTGAAACACAAACCAGAACATCTGAAACACAAACCAGAACATCTGAAACACAAACCAGAACATCTGAAACACAAACCAGAACATCTGAAACACAAAGCAGAACATCTGAAACACAAACCAGAACATCTGAAACCAAAGAAACATCTGAAACACAAACCGGAACATCTGAAACACAAACCAGAACATCTGAACACAAACCAGAACATCTGAAACACAAACCAGAACATCTGAAACTGAAACACAAACCAGAACATCTGAAACACAAACCAGAACATCTGAAACACAAACCAGAACATCTGAAACACAAACCGGAACATCTGAAACACAAACCGGAACATCTGAAACACAAACCAGAACATCTCCTGAAACACAAACCAGAACAACTGAAACACAAACCAGAACATCTGAAACACAAACCAGAACATCTGAAACACAAACCAGAACATCTGAAACACAAACCAGAACATCTGAAACACAAACCAGAACATCTGAAACACAAACCAGAACATCTGAAACACAAACTGGAACATCTCCTTCTCCTTTTTCTGAAACCCAAAGCAGAATGTCTGCGTACACTGTCCATACCGGCTTGTCAAAGCCTGATCCAGTCAGATCTCAGACGCTCAGCAGGTTCGGGCCTGGTTAGTACTTGGATGAGACACTGGGAAAATCAGGAGCCACAGTGGGCGCCAGTCACAAAGACTGTCATTGTGTCCTTAGGCAAGACACTTCACCCACAATGCCTAGTATGAGTGTGAGTGATGGTGGTGGTCGGACGGACTGATGTAAGTAAGTCAGTCTTTATTTATGTAGCACTTTTCACAGACATTTTTGTCACAAAGAAGCTTTACAGAACATTATTCATTCACTCTGTACCTGGTGATGGTAAACTACTGTTGTAGCCACAGCTGCCCTGGGGCAGACTGACGGAAGCGACTTACTTACTGGTGTATGAATGTGTGTGTGAATGGGTGAGTGGTTTCTTGATGTTCCTTGTTTATAGCTGAGATTTTATATTTTAGTACTTGTACTTACACATTTATATAATTATGTCTTTTACTCTTTTTTGCTACTTATTTAAAATGTAATCTTACCATTTGTATTATTATATATATTATATATATATTATATTATATTATGATGTGTGAGCTACTCTGTCCAAATCATTTCCCTTGTGGATCAGTAAAGTTTGTCTAAGTAAAGCTCTTTTGGCCTTGAAGGTGGAAAAGCGCTTTTATAAGAATGTGACCATTTACCAAATGATTCTAGCGAAGGTGTGTGGAGTTTAAAAACACAGCGGAGCACTTCCTGTGTTACCACATGACATCACAAGGTGGAACAGCTTGAGAGAAGAACTCAGCCTAAATGTGCAGTTTGGTTTGTGAGTTAAACATGTGAATGAAACAAAACACAACTCCAGGTGTCGGTTTGTGACGAGGAAACCACATTAGAACAGATCAGAAAATAATGAAACATCCAAAAACTGTCAGATCTCAGACCTGGTTTCTGGATCATGTCTCTCTAATTGCTGGACTTATTCACATAAAACAAAAGCTGTCACAATATTCAGCCTCTTCTCTGTCATGAAAAATAAACTAAAGTCACCGGATTTTTTCACAAACGCTTCAGAAAGTGGAGACATTCTTCAGCCACAAAGACGAGAGAGTTTCAGCTGAAATTTTAAACCAGAAGATTAATGTGACAAGTTTGTGGAGGAGTAGGAATGTACCAAACATTTGGTAACGGGGGTCCATCACCTGCTTGTTTCCATGGATACATCATTGCTCTGCCTGGAATGTTCCGCAGTGTGACATTAAACAGCTCTATTTTACATTTATTCAATTACAGGTGGATTTACAGCTCAAAAACACCTCGAAAAACAGACATTGTGACTGTGAGCGGCGTCGCCTCTCCACAGATCTGACCTGTAACTCAGTCTATGTTGGTCTCCGTGAAGATAGAAAGGTTTAATGCCATATTGCGGGACATTCCAGACAATAAAATTTAATAACATGAAGGGTTAGGGTTAGGGTTATGCATGAAGAAAAGCTTTTGACGGACGCTCCACCAGAAAAGTTACACAATTCACCTTTAAGAACATGAACACAGTTTGTATCATAATAAATCCAGACGTTTCTCTGTCAGATTATTCCCCTGACCCTCGCTCCTGTCTGCACACATGACGCCCGTAAACAGGTTTAATGAGAAATAAACACAAAAACACAAAGTTCAGAAGCAGACGAGCGGCTTTCAAAAGATAATTGGTGTTTATTTTATTTTTAAACAACTTTCCGATTCATTTCGCGGAGACAAACACGTCCGGGAGGGAAAACGTTTGAGAGAAATCGGAACTTTAAACTGAGAATCTAATTTACTTCAAAACATGTTTGTAGAGGGAGGGCATCTGACACACAGCCTCACCCACAGTGTTCGGGTCTAGTCAAATGAAGCTCATCGAGGGCTGCAGTTAAAGTGGTGAATTTGGAGCCGAATTTCAGATTTGGTTTCTATGATACTCGCAATCGGAATAGAGTTTTTTCACAACGGCCTGAAGTTCCGCCCTGTAGGTTTGTGGAACTTCCGGTTAATGATTTTCTGTGGCAAAATGTGTGTGTAAATGTGTGTGTAAATGTGTGTCGTTTTCTCCAGCAGCTTCACAAATCTGCCCCATCACCAAATCTTCAACCAACAAGCTCCACAAAGGATAAACATTCTTCACGAACAATTTATCCTCAACTATCAAGAGAAAAAAGACAAAAACTTAAAGGAAACAACGACGACGACACATTAGTCACACAAGAAACTAAACTAACGTTATGATCATGAATAAACCAGAAGGAACTTGTTCACTCGGACTGATTCTAGAATTAAAATTAAAAATCGATTTCATGATGTCGATATTAGTACAGACAGACAGAAAAAAAATCACGGTTCTGTTCGTTCCTCGGTTTTGAGGTCACAGTTTGGTTCATTTTCAGTTCAGTTTAAGAACAAAATGTAAAACCATTTGCTTGTTGTTTATTTGTGTTTTTATTAAACCAACAATTTGTTTTAACTTTATACAAATGGGAAACTAAAATAAATGCAAAGTGCTGCTGTGTAAAACTAATAAGTTCAATAAAATATTCTCAAATAAGCAACAAATGTTTGAAATATTATAAAAAATTTATTCCTTATAAACAGTAAACAAAACTTTTCACAAAGCAAAGAGCAGCACCAACAGTTCCAGCATGAACTTTTACTCAATCTTCATATTTTTGGCCAGAAAAAATAACTTGCTGCTGCTGTTACAACGTCCCCAGTGGTTGAAAATACCCAAATACCCTTTCGCTAAGGACAGAGGTCACGGGTATGAGGTTTGGGGGAGAGCGAAGAGTTCGTGCTGGTGAAAGGCGAGAGTGAGGACACACACGCAGCTCGACGACCGTAGTTTTGCAGGATTCTCGTGGTTTGGAGGGACGTAGTCAGGGCGGTCGCTCTAACTATAAAGCGCTGCGGGAAACACTGAACCAATCACAGACGAGCTCCTGGTGAGTCGAGTCTCCGTGGACGAACGTAAACACACAAATTGCGAAACCAAACGTCCCGTAACAAAACGGTTCAGCATGAAAACATGTACTGTTACGACAGATTTGTGCAGTTTGAATAACGTTAGTTTAGTTTCTTGTGTCACTAATGTGTCGTCGTTGTTGTTTCCTTTAAGTTTTGCTCTTTTTTCTCTTGATCGTTGTGGATAAATTGTTCATGTTAGAATGTTTGTCCTTTGTGGAGCTTGTTGGTTGAAGATTTGGTGATGGGGCAGATTTATGAAGCTGCTGGAGAATATGACACACATTTACACACACATTTACACACATTTACACACACACACATTTACACACATTTTACACACATTTACACACACACACACATTTACACACATTTACACACACATTTACACACATTTACACACACACACACATTTACACACACATTTACACACATTTACACACACACACACATTTACACACATTTACACACACATTTTACACACACACACACATTTACACACATTTACACACATTTACACACACATTTACACACATTTACACACATTTACACACATTTACACACACATTTACACACATTTACACACACATTTACACACATTTACACACACATTTACACACACATTTACACACATTTACACACATTTACATTTACACACATTTACACACATTTACACACATTTACACACACACACACATTTACACACATTTACACACATTTACACACACATTTACACACACATTTACACACATTTACACACATTTACACACACATTTTACACACACACACACATTTACACACACATTTACACACATTTACACACACACACATTTACACACATTTACACACATTTACACACACATTTACACACACACACATTTACACACACATTTACACACATTTTACACACACATTTACAAACACACATTTACACACACACACATTTACAAACACACATTTACACACACACATTAACAAACACACATTTACACACACATTTACACACACATTTAACAAACACACATTTACACACACATTTACACACACATTTACACACACATTAACAAACACACATTTACACACATTAACACACATTTACACACACATTAACAAACACACATTTACACACATTAACACACATTTACACACACATTTACACACACATTAACAAACACACATTTACACACACATTAACAAACACACATTTACGCAACACACACATTACAACACAACACACACATTTACACACATTTACACACATTTACACACACACACATTTACACACACATTTAACAAACACACATTTACACACATTTACACACATTTACACACACACACACATTTACACACACATTTACACACACATTTTACACACAACACACACATTTACACACACATTTTTACCACAGAAAAAACATTAACCGTAAGTTCCACAACCACGGCACTTCTGGCCGTTGTGAAAAACGTCTATGCCATGGAGACAATCCAGAGCCAGGGTTGTTAGGTCCTCCCCACCCCACACCCGCCCCTGCCCGCCCCTGCCCGCCCCTGCCCGCCCCTGCCCGCCCCTGCCCGCCCCTGCCCGCTCCTGCCCGCCCAGCCCGCCCCTGCCCGCCCCTGCCGCTCCTGCCCGCCCAGCCCCCCTGCCCGCTCCTGCCCGCCCCAGCCCGCCCCTGTCTCTTACCGGCTGCACGAGCACGTTGTTCTTGCCGTAGAGCAGGTGCGTTCTGGAGTTTTGATGCAGAGACTCGACGTATTCTCGAGCCGACGCCGCGAATCTGTCTTCAGACATACTCCCACTGGACTGACGCTTCCGGATCTGAAACGAGACCAGGACTGAGCCAGGACTGAGCCAGGACTGAGCCAGGACTGAGCCAGGACTGAGCCAAGACTGAACCAGGACTAAACCAGGACTAAATCAGAACTAAATCAGGACTAACCGCCAACTATAAAGTTCCACAGTGCATGTTTTTACCAAACAGTGCAGTTATTTTGCCTAAAGCATCGCCTCAGATCAGATTCTGTCTCTTTAAATCTCAAAACTTCAAACTTGAGCAGAAACTTTTCACACTTTGTCTCCAGATCCTCCCACAGACGTCGAGCGGCGCCAGCACAGAGTTACATAAAGCACAGATCACACTTTAAACTCTCCAATTCTCACCTCACAAAACACTGGACAAATGAGCAGAGCACGTTTCACGGACAGAACACAGAACACTCCGGGCTCAGATCCCGTTCACCCCGTCAACCCAAAACTTACACAACATCCTCCAGCTCCTGACCAAGACTAGACCAAGACTAGACCAAGACTAAATCAAGATCTGGAGAAGTTCCACTCTCTTCTCTATCTCTAACGCTCAAATCAGATTTTTTTGTGAAATCTGATGTTTTTTCGAGGTCGTTCACATTTCCAATTAAATGTGACTTGTATGTGACTCCAGTGTGAACATTAAACGGCCCAAAAGTGTCCCACATGTGACACTGGAGACACGACGACGTCAACCGCAGCGAGCGTCTCTGTGTTTACAGAAGTTGTCCAAACATGGACGCAGCATCGAGCACCTGGAGATTTTAAAGTTCCTCTCGTACCGGAGCCAGAACATGAACAACTGACTTGTTTTAAGGAGGAGATTGAGAAGGAGAAGGACGAGGTTTTTGGTCGTGGTGTTTTGTGGGACAGAACGTTGAAAGGAACGTGTGGATGTGAAGACGGAGCCAAGAGTGGTGAGTGGTGATGTGCTTCACTTCAGTGACACGGAGTTCATTAACAATTTTCTTAAATTTTCCTCCTACTTCAGTGACGTTTGTGTCTTGTTGATAACGTGTAAGTGGATGAATGCGCTTTGGCCGTTCAGACTGAAGTCACATGTTAAAGATCAGATATGTATCAGATTCAGGAGCACATATCCAAGTGTCCTGGGTCACATTTGAAAAAAATCGGATCTGTGTCGTTCAAACTGTCATTAAAAGATCAGATACAGGAACATTGGGGCCAAAAAAATCGGATTTGGGTCACTTCAGGCTGCAGTCTGAACACAGCTTTAGCCCCACACTGCAAATTTCTCTGATCTGGCCAAGATTTTCAAACGTATATCAGATTCTTCATCTTGTTTTCAGATTTATTATCGATTTACTCGTTCTGAATTGGTTGTATAATCTTAAAAATCGTCAAATATATTTCTCCCGTGACTCAACTAGTGAGAAGTTTTTATATTCATTGATACAGATTTGCTTGATCTAAGACTGACTACATTTTATTTAAGAAAAATTTAACTTTTTTCACATGTAAGAACCATACTGCAAAAAAAGCTTAGTGAAAATTTAAGATATAAACTCGTGAATCTATTAGAAAGTGACTTAAAATTTGTGAAATGATCTGTCCATGCAGGAAGATCAATTTACTTGACAAGTTTGTTAAAATAAACAACCTCTAGACGAGAATGAATCAGTCTGTGGTCAGTGTTTATGGGCTGGAAATAAGTTTATAGATGCTCAGTTTGAGATAAACAGACTTAAAACCAGATTATGATTTGTGTTCATGGCCTGATAATGAATTCAAAGATGCAAAATTCTAGATATAAGTACTTGAAATCTGAAGTCTTACACGATTGTAGTTAGTCCATTAATACTAATCATAAACTGGTTTTAAGTTTCCTTATCTAGAATTTAGCAATATTTAAAGCATTTTATCTTGAATTTGGCATCTGAGGACTTAATATCCGGCCATAAACACAAATCGTAATCTTGTTTTAAGTCCCTATCTCTCTGTCTCAAACTGAGTGTCCATAAACTTATTTCCAGCCCATAAACACTGACCACAGACGCTTCATTCTAGTTTATTTTAAGAAAACTTGTCAAGTAAAATGATCTTGCTGCATGGACAGATCATTTCACTACTTTTAAGCAATTTTCAGATCGATTTAAGTGTTTTATATCTTACATTTTGGCCAAGCTTTTTTGAAATGCAGTGTGCAGGCTCCTCTCTCTCTCCTCTGTCTTACCCCGAGCGCGGGCCTCCTCCCCGGGGTGGACTCCTGGCTGCGGTGGGCTCCGTGGATGCGGTGTCTCTGGACCAGCTCGTTGGCCGAGGGGTCGGTCCAGAAGTGGTCCGAGGTTTTGAGTTTGGTGTACTCCAGCGCGCAGGGGCCCACTGACAGACAGCACAGACACAGGTCAGAATTTACTCACCACACAATCTGACATCAGGTTTATATTTCCTGTTTGTGTGACTGACCGAGCAGAGCGGCGAGGATGGGGCCGTACACCGCGTCGTGCATCAGAGCCTCTTTCTCATAATATTTACTGTAAAACACAAAAGACAAAATCACCATCAGAATTAGAATCTCGTGTGATCTCGTGTGTTCTCGTGTGATCTCGTGTGATCTCGTGTGATCTCGTGTGGTCTCGTGTGATCTCGTGTGATCTCGTGTGATCTCGTGTGATCTCGTGTGATCTCGTGTGATCTCGTGTGTGTCTCTCGTGTGATCTCGTGTCGTGTGTCTCTCGTGTGTCTCGTGTGATCTCGTGTGCTCTCGTGTGATCTCGTGTGTGATCTCGTGTGATCTCGTGTGATCTCGTGTGATCTCGTGTGATCTCGTGTGATCTCGTGTGATCTCGTGTGCTCTCGTGTGATCTCGTGTGGTCTCGTGTGATCTCGTGTGATCTCGTGTGATCTCGTGTGGTCTCGTGTGTCTCGTGTGCTCTCGTGTGATCTCGTGTGTGTGTGTCATCTCGTGTGTCTCGTGTGCTCTCGTGTGATCTCGTGTGATCTCGTGTGATCTCGTGTGATCTCGTGTGATCTCGTGTGATCTCGTGTGCTCTCGTGTGCTCTCGTGTGATCTCGTGTGATCTCGTGTGATCTCGTGTGATCTCGTGTGATCTCGTGTGATCTCGTGTGATCTCGTGTGATCTCGTGTGATCTCGTGTGATCTCGTGTGATCTCGTGTGTTCTCGTGTGATCTCGTGTGATCTCGTGTGATCTCGTGTGCTCTCGTGTGATCTCGTGTGATCTCGTGTGATCTCGTGTGATCTCGTGTGATCTCTCTCGTGTGATCTCGTGTGTGTCTCGTGTGTCTCGTGTGATCTCGTGTGATCTCGTGTGTGCTCTCGTGTGGATCTCGTGTGATCTCGTGTCTCGTGTGATCTCGTGTGATCTCGTGTGATCTCGTGTGTGTCTCTCGTGTGTGATCTCGTGTGATCTCGTGTGTGTCTCGTGTGATCTCGTGTGATCTCGTGTGATCTCGTGTGTCGTCGTCTCTCGTCGTGTGATCTCGTGTGATCGTGTGATCTCGTGTGTCTCTCGTGTGATCTCGTGTGATCTCGTGTGATCTCGTGTGATCTCGTGTGATCTCGTGTGATCTCGTGTGCTCTCGTGTGATCTCGTGTGATCTCGTGTGCTCTCGTGTGCTCTCGTGTGATCTCGTGTGATCTCGTGTGATCTCGTCTCTCGTGTGATCTCTCTCGTGTGCTCTCGTGTGATCTCGTGTGCTCTCGTGTGATCTCGTGTGCTCTCGTGTGATCTCGTGTGCTCTCGTGTGATCTCGTGTGATCTCGTGTGCTCTCGTGTGATCTCGTGTGCTCTCGTGTGATCTCGTGTGGTCTCGTGTCTCTCTGTGTGATCTCGTGTGGTCTCATGTGATCTCGTGTGGTCTCGTGTGGTCTAAAGGACACAGACTTCCTTGTGGTTTAGTGTTTAGTCGGGGTGTAACAATATCCAAGTCTCACGTTACGATATCATCACAGTATGAACCTCACGGTACGACACTTATTGCGATATCGTGGGAAAGCTCACGATATGGTGGGAAGGTTCACGATTAGAGAGAGATGTAACAATATCCAAATCTCTCTGTGCAATATTTTCACGATGTACATCTCACGGTACGATATTTATTGTGATATTTTGTCGAGGCTGAACAGCTAAAACTGTGAATATGCTTCTTTTTCTCTTAAAATGCCTTGACAAGACTTAATCCAAAGAAGAACTAAGACTTAAAAGTGTTAGAACTGTTATTTCTTCTTGTCGTCTGCACTGAAATGGAGCAAAGGATCATGGTCTGTGTAGTTCTCTCTGTTTTTTTTTTAGCTGTTCCTGCACCATAACTCTTCATTTAAACAAAGAGACTTGTGATTCGATATATTGTGATGATCCACGATATACGATAGCACGATATTTTAGTTATTGTCACGTCCTTAGTGTTTAGAGTTTGGGATCGGTTGATATCGATATCCGATATTTGTTCCGCTGCTGTGACTGATTCCCGATATTTCACCTTTATAAAATCCAAAGTGAAACCCACAAATTTATCTTAAGTTGAAGTACCGATTACAAATAAACTTTTCACATTTTAAAAATAATAAAATGTTTTTATCTGGATATAAAATCATGTGTTACACTCTTCTATTTCTATTTTGACTCATTAATCTGCTCAAAAAAGCCACACAGAGAAAAGGGCCGTGAAAAAAGACAAACAAATCGGTCCTGAATGTCAACATCGATATTGAAAAATCATATCAATATTGGCCAATAAATCGCCCATCTCTAGTTAAAGCATCAATAAATCAGTTTAATCCCAGTTGGACCTGCACTGTCACTGTGTCTTTGGGCAAGACACTTCCTCGTGTGTGGAGAGAGACGATGGAGCAGGTTTGGGCTTGTGGCCCCGGGGGAGTAGACGTGCATCAATAATGCACACGACAGTAAAGCCACTTCCTCTGCTGAATATTTCATGGTCTGAAATCCTCTTTCCTTTGTCCTAAAGATGCACATTTCATGAACAAAGACAAAAAGAAACTTGGACGGCACTTTTAACAGCTACATTAGAAACGACTAAATAATATAAACTAACGATGAATACTTTTAAAGCCATTTCAGATTCTGCACTTGTGTCTGAAATAAGGACGAGCATTCGATGAAATTTTCTTAATCGATCGTCGGAAGAATTAACGATCGATTATCGATTAATCATTAACGTTTTTATATTAAAATGATCATCATTATTATTACTATCTGCACTAATCTGCATAATTAAATTCAACTTTACGACATATAAACATAACGACTCTAGAGCCACATCAGCTGTTTGACATTATAATGTGTTTAATTCAGTTTTGTTCAAATCTCACAGAAACAAAACTTAAAACCACATCACTAATTTACATAAACTAAGTGAAGATAAAACTCCAGCTCTTGTGTCGCTGATGTGGTTCAACTTGTGTTGGATTAAAAGACATGACTCAGGTGAATACAGGTCAGTGTGACCAGATTTGTGTTTGTCAAAACCAGGACAGCGTACGGGGGGAGGGGGGCGGGGCCTCGTCATCCACATTGAGCGACTCTCACCTGGAAAAACTTTTTCCCACTGGACACAGAAACATATGTGCTGCTTTATCCACTGTGCACATGGACTCACACTTGTCCCAACGCAACGGAAAGTGTGGAATTTCTTCTACAAATCCTGGTTAAATCCACATTTGTGCTTCGGTTCGTTACAGACTGACCCACTGTTTGTGTCTCGCTCCTTCTGATGCAGAGACACATGTACACACCTGTTTGGTCACGACACACACAGTGACCTACATTCGATTTGTCGATTAAAATTAACGTAATCGATGAAATTCTTAATGATCAATTACCGATTAATCGATTAATCATGCCCATCCCTAGTCTGAAAACATAAACTACAATGATTTCAGTGTGATCTCTGTGTTATTCTCAGGCGTTTTGTTTTAACACAATCTGACTTTAAATGTGCACTGTGTAACTCTTCAGTCAAACACTTTTCTCCATGGAGACGTTGTTGCTCTGTCTGGAATGTTCCACAGTGTGGCATTAAACCTTTCTATCTCCACGGAGACCAAACTAGATCAAGTTACAGGTGAGATCTGTGGAGAGGCGACGCTGCTTACAGTCAGCGTGTCTGTTTTTCTCTGTACTTTTGAGCTTTAAAACCACCTGTAACTGAATAAATGTAAAGTAGAGCTGTTTAAAGTCACAATGTCCACGTTTACATGATGAATATTCTCCTTTGAGTTTGCAAATAATTATTCCGAATTGGTGTTTCTATGGAAAACTTGTTAAATCGTCTTTATTTAATGTGTTTCAGCGTCCGGGGGTGGGGAAGGTTCTGATTGGACAGAGACACCAACAGATTTATGTCTTTGGGAAGAAAGCAACGCACTAGTCCAGTTAGGTTCATTTGGTCTTCTGATATTTTATGTTATGAGGTTCTTTTTACAGACCAAGAGTTTGTTTTCGACTGCTCACTCTCGCTCTTCCTCAGAGTCTCGTGACGTTGCTGTGACGTGTCGCTCAGTTGATTTAAACAGGTTTTGGTGCTGTCTTCCCACCGGTGGAGGCAGGACGACAGCGCCACCTGCAGTCCCACTTCCTCAGGACAGTATCCCAGGTGTGTGAGAGTAAAAAAGCCCCTCGTCCCGGTTTACAGTCCTGTGGGCACGTTTCCGTATTTCGATTGCTTCTTTAATCCAGCGGCGATGTTTGTTTTCCTCTGTCCCAATGATGTTTGCTCCGTCCCAGTTCATAACGTGGTTCTCTCTTTTACAGTGGTCAGAAATGACTGATTTGAGTTGTTCCTGTTCTGCTTTGTGTTTTGTTGCTCGTGTTTCGCCTTCGCTGTTTCCTTCTCGCATTCTGTTCTATGTTCCTTTTTTTTTTTTTCGTGTACTGAACGCCCTCCCTGTTTCCCCGATGTGTGTCTTATTGCAGGACATGCAGGGGATTTCGTATATTACATTACATTTATGCTCCGGTTCTATTTTGTCTTTCGGGTGGACGAGTATTTGTCTGAGTTTTCTGTACGAAGAAGAAGAACCTAATAACATAGGTTTTGGCGCCGTCTTCCAAACGGTGGAGGAAGGACGACAGCGCCACCTGCAGTCCCACTTCCTCAGGACAGAATCCCAGGTGTGTGAGAGTAAAAAAGCCCCTCGTCCCAGTTTATCGTCAGGTTTCCGTATTTCAATTCCCTCTTTAATCCAGCGACGGTGTTTGTTTTTCTCCGTCCCAGTGATGTTTACTCCGTCCCAGTCCCACTCTGAGGAACAGCGCTAGTGAGCAGTCGAAACTGTCAGGAATGAAAACAAACTCTCGGTCTGTAAAAAGAACCTAATAACAAAAAACACACACTTCAGCTGCTCCCGGCTTTTCCGTCATCTCGGTTTGTCGTTACGCCACGGACACAAACACCATCCAAACTTTTCCCACAGTGGTTCCGATGATAATCAGAAACGTCTGTGGGCTGAGGAGGAGAAGGGAAGAGCGTCGGAGAAGGAGGAAGAAGACAAAGTGAGTGTGAGGCTGTTGTACCTCAGCCCCACATCTGCTCACAAATCCAAAGAGACGTGGAGGAAAGTCCCAAGACACGACTGGAGGAGCCGGATCGAAGGACGACACAACGAAGCGTGAACTGAACAACCGGGATTATTTTTAAGAAGAATAAACGTGAAACATGATCCAGGAATAACTTAATTCAGTTTTAAAATCAGAATGAAACACCCACTTACTTCGGAATTAAGTTGAATTCCGAATCATCATTTTTATTAAGAATTAAGTGTTTACATGGACTTTTTACAAAGGAATTCATTTTTATTCGGAATTAATTTATTTTTAATCGTATTTAAAGCTCTCATGTAAACGTGGCAACTGTGGAACATTTCAGGCAGAGCGATGACGTCTCCGTGGAAACAAGAACCTAACCAAAAAGTTACGCAGTGCAACTTTAGATCCGCGTTGAGTCTTTTTGTGAGTTTTCAGACGACCTTCAAACTTTTTGCTCTGTGCGTTTGCTCGTGTGCGCGTCGTGTCTCCATGGTAACTACGCAAACATCCCGCCGTAGAAGCGCACGTAGAGCACCCGCCGCGCTACACCGTGTGCCCAGAGGGGGGCGCCGCACCTGGAGTTGTCCACGATGTGCTGGATGATCTTGTCCAGGACCTTCTCGAAGAGCGCCGTCCGCACCCAGATGTGGCGCACGGCCTGAGGGGACAGAGGGGGCGGAGCTCGGCACGACGACGACGAGGCCTGACGCCGCAAAGGCTCATGGGACGACGACACGCTCTGGCTCCGCCTGAGGGACCAAAACAACAACAACAAGGACAAAAACACAAAGACCATTAAAAAACTGAAGACGTTAAACATGAAACAAACGAGGACCGGACCGGGATCATAACCAGACTAAACACGAGGACCAGGATCATAACCAGACCAAAGACCGAGGACCAGGATCATAACCAGACTAAACACGAAGACCAGGATCATAACCAGACTAAAGACGAGACCAGGATCATAACCAGACTAAACACGAAGACCAGGATCATAACCAGACTAAACACGAGGACCGGACCGGGATCATAACCAGACTAAACACGAGGACCAGGATCATAACCAGACCAAAGACGAGGACCAGGATCATAACCAGACTAAACACGAAGACCAGGATCATAACCAGACTAAACACGAGGACCGGACCGGGATCATAACCAGACTAAACACGAGGACCAGGATCATAACCAGACCAAAGACGAGGACCAGGATCATAACCAGACTAAACACAAAGACCAGGATCATAACCAGACTAAACACGAAGACCGGGATCATAACCAGACTAAACACGAAGACCAGGATCATAACCAGACTAAACACGAGGACCGGACCAGGATCATAACCAGACTAAACACGAGGACCAGGATCATAACCAGACCAAAGACGAGGACCAGGATCATAACCAGACCAAACACGAGGACCAGGATCATAACCAGACCAAACACGAAGACCAGGATCATAACCAGACTAAACACGAAGACCAGGATCATAACCAGACTAAACACGAGACCAGGATCATAACCAGACCAAAGACGAAGACCAGGATCATAACCAGACTAAACACGAGGACCAGGATCATAACCAGACCAAAGACGAAGACCAGGATCATAACCAGACTAAACACGAAGACCAGGATCATAACCAGACTAAACACGAAGACCAGGATCATAACCAGACTAAACACGAAGACCGGACCAGATCATAACCAGACTAAACACGAAGACCAGGATCATAACCAGACTAAACACGAAGACCAGGATCATAACCAGACTAAACACGAGGATCAGGATCATAACCAGACCAAAGACGAAGACCAGGATCATAACCAGACTAAACACGAAGACCAGGATCATAACCAGACTAAACACGAAGACCAGGATCATAACCAGACTAAACACAAAGACCAGGATCATAACCAGACTAAACACAAAGACCGGGATCATAACCAGACTAAACACGAGGACCGGACCGGGATCATAACCAGACTAAACACGAGGACCAGGATCATAACCAGACTAAACACGAAGACCGGGATCATAACCAGACTAAACACGAGGACTGGACCGGGATCGTAACCAGACTAAACATGAGGACTCTACATCACTCTCTCTCCCTCACATCTTCTTTCTTCTTTACCTCCCTCTTCCCTCTCTCCTTTTCTCTCTTTCTTTCTCCCTCCCCGCCCTCTCTCTCTCTTTTTTCCTTTGTCTCTCTCCCTCTCTCACACCCTCCCTCTCTTTCTCCTCCTCTCTCCCTCCTCTCTCTCTGCTTCACCCCTTCTTTATATCCTTCTTCCCTCTCTCCTTTTACTCTCTTCTTTTATCTCTCTCTCCTTTCTCTTTCCGCTCCCTTCGTCTCTCTCTTCTTTCTCCCTCCGTCTCACTCACTCTCTCTTTCTCGCTACCTCCTCTCTCCCTCCTTCCTTCTCGCCTCTCTCCCCCCTCTCTCTCTCTGCTTCACCCCTTCTTTATTTCCCTCTTCCCTCTCTTCCCTTACTCTCTCCTTTCATCTGTTACTCTCTCTCTCCTTTCTCTTTCCGCCCCTTCATCTCTCTCTTCTTTCTCCCTCCCTCCCTCTCCCTCACTTTCTCTCTTTCTCATCACCCCCTTCTCTCCTTCCCCCCTCTCCCTCCCTCTCTCTTTCCTTCTCTCACCCCCCTCTGTCACTTCTCTCTCTTGTTTCTTTTTCTTTTTTTCTCCCTCTCTCTTTCCCGTCCTCTTCCTCGCTCTCACCACCCCTCCTCTCCTCTATCCCTCCATCTATCCCTCTCTCTTCCTCCCTCTCACCCGCCATCTCCACTCTCTCTCTCTCAACCCCCCTCCATCCCTCTTTCCCTCCCTCTCTCTTCTTCTACCCCTACTCTCTCCCTCCATCTACCTCTCTCTCACCCCCCTTCTTTCTTTTCCCCTCTCTCCCTCTCTTCTTCCCTCTCTTCTCCCACCTTTTCTTCCCTTCTCTCTCCCTCCTCTGTCACTTCTCTCTCTTGTTACCGTTTCTTTTCTCCCTCCTTCCCTCTGTCTCTCTCACCACCCCTCCTCTCTCCTTTCCTCCTCCCACTTCCCTCTCCCTCCCTCTTCTCTTCCCTCTCTCCTCTCCTCCTCCCTCCCTCCATCTCTCTTTTCTCTCTCTCTCTCTGGATGTCGTTGGGTTCAGACCAGAATCCTCAGTCACGACTTTCACGGCTCCATCATTACCTCATCCCCGACTCCCCCCCGCCCCTTTAAGAGACCAACAATCACAACCGGTCTACACCAAGACCAACCAGGATCACAACCGGTCTACACCAAGGACCAACCAGGATCACAACCGGTCTACACCAGGACCAACCAGGAGCACAACCGGTCTACACCAAGACCACACCAGGATCACAACCGGTCTACACCAGGACCAACCAGGAGCACAACCGGTCTACACCAAGACCACACCAGGATCATAACCGGTCTACACCAGGACCAACCAGGATCACAACCGGTCTACACCAAGACCACACCAGGATCATAACCGGTCTACACCAGGACCACACCAGGATCACAACCGGTCTACACCAGGACCACACCAGGATCACAACCGGTCTACACCAGGACCACACCAGGATCACAACCGGTCTACACCAGGACCAACCAGGATCACAACCGGTCTACACCAGGACCACACCAGGATCACAACCGGTCTACACCAGGACCACACCAGGATCACAACCGGTCTACACCAGGACCAACCAGGAGCACAACCGGTCTACACCAGGACCACACTAGGATCATAACCGGTCTACAGAAGGGTCTAGACCAGGTGTTGTGAAGAGTGGGCAAACTACGGCCCGGGGGCTGTATGTGGCCCTTTAAACCTTTTAATCCGGGCCACTAAACTTGAATAAATTATAATAATAAACCTTGTTAATGTTTTATTTTTCCTGCATTTCCGGTGTTTCCCAGTAGATGGCGCACTGTATATACATTGAGGTGCGGCGTATTATGTTGGCCGCAATGCTTTATGGGAAAGTGTTCTTCTGGACTCGGTCGGTGTATTCGGACCATGAGTGAGGCAGAAGTGTTCAAGACATAAGACTGCACTGTTTCCATTTTAAATTGATTTAAAACAAAGGCCAAAGATTTATGGATGTTGTGTTACAAGTTTTAACACATGGAGAGTTGTCTGACTTTACTGCATGTTGCAGTGTTAACACACAAAACCCCAGGACACACAAAACCCCCGACACACAAAACCCCACGACACACAAAACCCCGGGACACACAAAACCCCAGGACACACAAAACCCCAGGACACACAAAACCCCACGACACACAAAACCCCACGACACACAAAACCCCACGACACACAAAACCCCAAACACACAAAACCCCACGACACACAAAACCCCACGACACACAAAACCCCACACATTCTGTCTTGGCCCTTCAGTCAAATTTTAGAACCTTTATGGCCCCCGAGCCAAAAAATGTGCCCACCCCTGGACTAGACCAGGATCATAACCAGATCTAGAGAAAAGTACAACAGGTGCATGATATTTTTAGTAGTAGTAGTAGTGGTAGCAGTAGTAGTATTTGTAGTAATAGTAGTTGCAGTAACAGTAGTAGTAGTAGTAGTCGTCATCGTATTAGTATTAGTAGTATTTGTAGTAGTAGTAGCAATAGTATTTGTTGTTGCTTTCACATCCTGAGTTGTTTCTCTGTGGTTTTTTCCCATGATGCTTTTTGGCGTTTCCCTCATCAGTCGCCGTGGTAACAGCGGTAATGAGTGTGAGGAGGAAGAGGAAGAGGAGGAGGAGGGTTAATGGTGCTAATGTGTGTGGAGAAACACCCAGAGATGGAGAGGAGAGAGAAGAGGATTCTCAGACGGTCAGAGGGGGTCAGAGGGGTCAGAGGGTCAGTCAGAAGGGGTCAGAAGAGAGGGTCAGAGGGGGTCAGAGGGTCAGGGTCAGAAGGGTCAGAGGGTCAGTCAGAAGGGGTCAGAAGGGGTCAGAGGGGTGTCAGAAGGGTGTCAGAAGGGTCAGAGGGTCAGAAGGGTCAGAGGGTCAGAAGGGGTCAGAGGGTCAGAGAGGGTCAGAGGGTCAGAAGGGGTCAGAGGGTCAGAGTGTCAGAAGGGGTCAGAGTGTCAGAAGGGGTCAGAGGGTCAGAAGGGGTCAGAGGGTCAGAGTGTCAGAAGGGGTCAGAGGGTCAGTCAGGGTAGAGGGTCAGAGGGTCAGAGGGTCAGAGAGAGGGTCAGAGGGTCAGAGGGAGGTCAGAAGGGGTCAGAGGTCAGAGTGTCAAAAAGGGGTCAGAGGGTCAGAGGGGTCAGAGGGTCAGAGGGAAGGGTCAGAGTCAGAGGTCAGAAGGGGTCAGAGGTCAGAGGGTCAGAGAGGGTCAGAGGGTCAGAGTGTCAAAAGGGGTCAGAGGGTCAGAGTGTCAAAAGGGGTCAGAGGGTCAGAGGGTCAGAAGGGGTCAGAGTGTCAGAGGGGGTCAGAGGTCATAGTTCACCTGGTGAGCTCGCTCTGCTGGTTCAGTTGTTCCTGGACTTTGGTGCAGATTTCTGCGGCGACGTCGTAAACTTTCCCCACTTTGGTGAAGAGTGCGGCCGTTTTGTCGCTGCGGAGGAACCCGGCCCGCCCGCTTCAGCAGGTGCCCCAGACACGCCTCCACCGACGCTGAGGGGACACCACACAGGTCAGAGGTCAGAGTCGGAGTGTGCAAAAATATCGGAATATCAATATATCGTATTGTTTAATGTGATGATACAGCAGGGGTGTCCAAACTTTTTTTCATCAAGGGCCACATATCTAAACACACATGAAGCAGAGGCCGATCGAGGGCCGTACACTGGTGCTCAATTCAGTGAATAATTGAAATATGTGCATGTTTAACATGTTAGTATGAACCATCAGTCTTTATTCATGCTAAAATCCTTAAAAATCACACACTAAATATGAAATATAAGCTTTATCAAGGTAGATTCTCAAAAAACTTGCAGTAAAAAAATATTTTTCAATTGATGCAAGGTCATTTGGACCAATTCACACTGGAAGCCTGAAGGCCAAGAAAAATTTGTCTGAGGGCCGCATTTGGCCCCCGC